GGTTCGCGCCGTCCGGGCGGCGACTTCCGGGGCTCGCGCATAGGCCGCGCTCTCAGCACTGCGTTGCGACCCCCTGGTTCAAGCCGATGACACCTTCCTTTACTCATGTATAGTTATGTTTAGTGTGTAAGGTATCATCTGCTAAAATCACTCTACCTGACTAGCAGTGACCCCCTGACGTGACCGTCCAAAAATATGAATCAAGGACAAAGTGTACTTTGCCCTGGGAACTCTTAGCTACTGCACATGTCAAGCAGCTTCTCCGTCCATTGTGCCTGGGTAACGCGAAAGACAGTCGGGACAGGCGTCGATGGCGAGCCGGGAGCGAGCACGCGTAGATCGGTGCCCGTAATTCACGAACACGGTAAAAGCAATGTCTCATTTTTTGAGGGGCAAGGGAAAACTTTGAGGAACTGCCATGTTTGAGGAAGAGTCCTCCGATCTCGCCTCAGATTTTGAGGAATCTTCTCTCAAAATGAGGAAAAATCCCACAACCTTCGAGGAGACTTCCTCGAAATCTGAGATTTTTCAAACCAGGGAAATTCCTCAAAGTTTTCCCTTTTCTCTCAAAAAATGAGACTTTGTTTTTACCGTGAACAGCGCGTCCGTACGTCATGCCAATTTCGCCTTGTTCTGTGTGTTTTTCGACTTTTCACCTTGTTACCAATTTTGTTCCTCTCAAAAAGGTGGATTTGCACACAAATTTTCACAAAAGGTAACTCAACGGGATCAGTAGCAAATTGAAAAGAACATACCAAAATCGTGACGTACGGACATGACTTTTTGAGAAAAAGTTAAAGGGTTGTTTCCACCCTTTGGTGACCAACATACCTATGATGAGGGCTATGTGTTCTGTATCGTCAACCAAACAATATCCAAAAGATACCACCGAAAAATCCCGAGTGGAAGTAGTCTTTTTAGGCACTAGAAAAGAGGCGTCGTGTTGGAGATTTTTGCACGATAACGAATCTGTCTATTGCGAAGCTACAAAACGCGCCATGAGTGAGAACAACGGCTTGTTTCAACTCATATTCATGAAATATGGACCGTTTGCTGCCAGGAACCATCGCAATTTGACTAGCACTAAAAATGATTTTGCCCTATCACTTCCGCCCTTTTCTGGAATTGCCCCGGAATTCTTTATTAGGAGCAGATATTAGCACGACTTGTGCAGAAGTATGCATTAAGTCGCATTGAGTGCATCTGTATCTATCGTTATAATTACTTCACTTTCTTAATGTTGACTCTTCTACTTTCAGGTTTTGCGGTGTTTTGAGACTGAAACAATGAGCGAGACGTCGACAAAACTTGTCTGCTTTCGTAAGTACGTGATAATGCTTAACTCATGTCCTCTCGGCAACAGTGTTTATGTGCACGTTAAAACTAGTCGGAAGCAGCTACAATACAACTAGCTCTAAGTACAGTGACTTTTCGATTTTGGATCGCGAAACTGGCTTCGCCACGCGCTGGAATCAAACAGTTCCAGGTACTCTTCTCGGCCGAGCTGTGACAGGTGAAGAGCCCTTCTGGCGGCCGCGCAAGAGATTAGTGACCGGCTGGGAGAGGATTAAGCCGTCCGTTCGCCTGGTCTGTTCAAAAACTGTTCCGTTCCAAAAACGTTCATTTTCTTTACTGGAACGTGTCCCCGTTTTTAGCCCGCCCTTCTGCTTTGAAAAAGCTATCCAGCGGGCTTATGCAAACGATCTCGTGTGTGTCTGTGTGTGTGTCTGTGTGTCTGTCTGTCTGTCTGTTCCACTAGAAGATGTGCTAGAGACTTGAAATTTTCAGGGTATCTTAAGGTCCACTCATAGAGAACGAAACGCCTACGGCACATCCTGGCAACCACCCCTAAGGGTGTGAATGGGTGTATCCAAGGTTCAAAAATTCTCCAAAAAAGTATTTTTATTTTTTTTTATGTTCTCCTAAGGGGTAACTCGTAAAAGTAGAGCCCTTTTGGGCGACTACAACCCACCCTTCTGCTTAGAAAACTGTTTTTGAGGGTGGGGAGAGAGTTTCCTTTCTATTTTGCAGTTTTTAGCCCGCCCTTCTGCTTTTAGAAAAGCATTAAAGCGGGCTTATGCAACCGCTCTCGTGTCCGTCCGTCCGTCTGTCCGTCGTCCGTGTAAGAGGAAGGAGATGAGCTAGGGGTCTGCAAATTTCAGGGTATCTTAGGGGTCACTCCTGGACAACGAAACGCCTGGTGCAAATCCTGGCAACCACCCCTAAGGGGGTGAAAGGGGGTAACAAAGAAATAGGGGTTGGTCCAAAAAGTAGAATATCAAATTTTTTTTATGGTCCCCTAAGGGGTAACGCGTGAAAGTAGAACCCTTTGGACTAAAATTTCGTCCGTTTGCCTCTATCTTGCACCGTTTGGGCGCTAGAGTTGTTTTTTCGACGAAAATACGGTGAAAATGACCACGTTGCACATGAAGACGTACAAGGAGGCACCCAATCGTAAAATGTCAGAGGAAGTACCCCCCCAAAACAGCACATTCTGAGTCTGATGACACTCTCCGATTTACCGCATCTTTAACCGTTTAGGAGCTAGAGGTAGATATTTTGAAAACAATTGCAAAAACTCAAGTTTTCAGACTGTTTGGCAAGCAATATACAATCTACAATCTGCGCGTGTTTTATTTTTTTAATTCTTAAGCAAAGCAGAAGGGTGGGGTGAAGTCACGGTGTTGCCCCGTTACAGTCTTTTGTCATGTCCAAGGAGCAAATTTCTAGGGCCGCAGGCCCCCCACCGGACGCGTTAGTTTACTCAATTAATGCTAAGTGATTTACGGGTCACATTATTTATTTGATTATGCACTTTGGTAAATCGAGAGACTGAAATGGTCGGGCCGGAGGCCCGACCATCGCCGAGGCCAAGCAGGCCCGGCCCCTGCCGAACGGAGTTGCCGGCGCAGCGAAGTGGAGATGGCAACTCCGTTTGGCGGAAGGGCGGGCCTGCTTGTTAGGCCTTCTTCTACAAATTATTGTTCACTATAGCAATTGTTAGCCTATTTTCGTCAGCAAAGACCCTCCAGCGCCTAAACGGTTGGAGATAGAGCCAAACGGATGAAATTTTCGCGCGAAGGGCTTTACGTCGACGAGTTATTACCTCATGGAGAACATTAAAACAAAAATTACTTTTTGGGCCAATATTTGAACCCTGGATACCCCTATTCACACCCTTACAAGGAGACTTAGGTAAGTGTAATTTCTCGATTCGGTTCAAACTATATTTGCTTCTTGGCCATGTAGATGACGAACGCCGGTCGAATTTTGTGCTGAAGTTCACATCCCGGACCTAATAGGAGCGTTTTATGGAAAAAGTTTAGAAATTCGACATTAACTCATGGAAGGCGTTCTCAAATCGAAAAATGGAAGAGGAACTACCCCCCCCCCCCCCAAAAAAAAACTGCACATTCTATTCTGAGTCGGAATATCACTTAATATTTTTTTAACATGAAATTTTTATTCTTGGGAAACCATATACCCCTTACAGGGGATTTTGACATACGAACTTCAGCACAAATTTTGACGCGTAATAATCATCTATAGGGATAAGAAGCAAATATACCGCGTTTGAACCGAATCGGGAATTTACACCTACCTAAGTCTCCTTGTCAGGGATGGTTGCCAGGATTTGCCGTAGGCGTTTTGTTCTCCAAGAGTGAACCTTAAGATACCCTGAAAATTTCAAGTCTCTAGCACATCTCCTTCTAGAGGAATAGACGCTGTGCCGGTGAGGGCAACGTAACCTCCCGCGGCCGTCCCGTTACATCAGCAAGATTTTATATTTATTTCTGACGTTCTATCATTCGTGTAGAGTAAGACTATGGTTATTATGATGCAATAGGAATCAGAGAATGTATTTCAATCGAGGGAATAAAGAAGGAAGTTGTAGTTTTCTTATTATAAGATAGGGAAAATAGTGCAGGATGGTCGGCCTCTGCACAGTCATCATAATCCGTCCTAATCTCAGCAATCCTTCAGTTTTTCGGGAAATGGCGCATATATTCGTAAACTACATTAAATTTCACTGGGAATAGGCAATAACGTCTACGCTTAATGAGTCTGATTATATTTTTAAATTATGTCCGAAAGTCGACGACTCGGCGCACCCGTTATGTTACGTGCTTCTTTTGTGCCTCGCTTCACCTTCCAGGTAAATCTCATCCTAAAGTGACAAGTTCAGTTCCAAACAGAATTATCCAATGAACAAATTGGTACGAGTATATTTTGTCGTAAAATGATCTAGGGTAGGTGATACAGTTATGGGACGGGGTACAGTTATTGGACGCTTCGCACTGCGAGCGCCACTGTAGACAAACGGCGCGACGCAGACAAACT